ATGTTAAAGTTAATATTCCCAGATTGATGGAGTGTAGTATTGTTCGTATATGATACAATATTTATGCTAGTTTCTTCCTCATTGGAATTATTCCTTCATTCTATGGTTCATCTGCAATTCAACAAAAAGATTCATGTTAAATTCTTCAATTGCTGATTGAAAAAACAATTTGAGCATTTGTTTAACACTCTCTGGCTTGTCGCCCTAAATTTTGCTCATTTTATTGAGCTACCCCTGTGTTTTCTTTTTCTAGTTGTTGATGGTACAATTTCAGATCATGGCTGGAATCAAATAACTGGATCGCAGCTGACTGAGAAACAAGCTGATAGTGAGTCCGCTACAATTGAAACTAATTTTAATGACCTGATTTGATTCCAGGTTTTTGGTATAGTTTGCTAAAAGGGGGTGAATAGGCACTTTTCCATTTTCTTCATCTCTACCAGCATCAGGCTCTCCAGAGACACTTTTAGCTTTACTCTGCCTCAGAAAGATACTCCAGTCTGTTTTACTCTTAAAATTTTCCATTTTCTTTTGCTGTAAAAATAGAAGAATAAAGCAGCCGATACCCAAACTGCAATTACAAAATAGGATTCCAGACTATCTCAAAAAAAAAATTACATTGATCAGAAGCTCCATTTTCAGACTAGAAAAAATTGGTGGGTTATGGCAATCTGAATTGAAATTAGGACATAACTGGGGAACAGTAAAAATATTTTTTCTCTTGGGTGTAATCATCACCATCTAATCCACTAATACAGGTTTCCTCCTGTATGCTTGATTCCTGTTCAGAAAGACATTTGGATGATTTTCTCAACCAAGCAAAACAGGGGATTTGAACTTGTACCTTGGAATAAGACTAATGCTCAGGGTATACCAAGAAATATTCTCAAAATGTATTAAAAGATCCAGGAAAAAATGTTTTTTCAAAGAAATTCAAATTATAAAATGAGCTGAAGGAATGTAATAGGTTTTTCTAATTGCTAAGGGTCTTAACCTTTGGCAATCTCCATGCCATTGGGTAATTTATGTGTTTTGAGAATTGTTTTCACTGTGTCGGTCAAATAACAGTAATAAATTGTGAGAACTAGATGTGCCATTTTTGTATGGCTCCATAGACTAGGTTTTCTAGTAACTCTTGGTTCACCAAATACAAGGGATTACATGCTGCTTTATAATCTGCTGTCTTTTGATAATTACCAGTGCTGCACAATGATTAATTTCAGTTCACAAGCAAAAAAAAATAAATTTTCCCATCAGAATTCATTTGTTCTGGAGAGGCCTATACTTTGAACAGGTTTTGGTTCCTATTTGTACATTTATAAACATGTGGGTGTTACACATTTGCATTTTCACTCACTTTTCTATTTTCTATTGCATGGATTATCCATATTTCTATAAATTAGCTTTCTTTGTTCTTAAGATGAGTGTGCTTGTTTGCAAGCATGTTACCTCTGAACACCATTTTAATATCTCAACGGTGATGAGGGATTTCAACTTCTCAGAAAATTGGGTCCATCTAGAAACTACCCTTTACATTTCTACAAAAACTGGATTTACGTTACTCTCAGAGTCAGTTAAACTTCAAACAAACTCAATAAATTCCTCTCACCACTTAAGTTCACAAAATAGTTTATTTTTGTGTACATGTGCTAATGCTACATTACTGCTTCATCAGTTTCTTTTTATTTACACCACACTGTAGACATTAATGTATGATAATAAAATGTATTGGCTTCTGCAGATACTGAACAGTTGTTTAGAAAAGTTATAATCGACGACCAACATTATAATTCGCAGCCTGTAAGAGATGACAACCAGCGAGTGCAGACTACCAACAGTAAGTCACACAGATAATAGTCTTCCTCACCCTCTTTTTATTTAAGGCATGTTTCCCCTTTTTTGTCTGGTTCCTCCGGTCAGTGTGTGCAGATAAACGTTCTTATTGAATGATCCTGACTTTGAAGTGGTTCTAGAATTTGTATGAAATGGAGCGGGATGACTCTCACCATTTTGGAATTTCCCAGTGATCCTCAATGGTAAAATGCTTAGACTTCATTCAGCACCATTTCCTAATACTCCATCCTGTTGGAATGAACAATTCATTAAACATTGTCACAAATAAATTCACTTACCAACACAGTGAAGCATCACTGCAATCCAAGCCTCTCATTTATACTCAAGTGTTTTGTACATTACAGCGTTGAGTAAAATCTCATTTGGAACTTCAATTGACAAAATTACAAGTTAAAGTCACAAAAACCCAATTTAAAACAAATTATAATGACGATATTAATTACTTGTCTTCATTGTTCAGACCTTTGAGTATAGGAGTTGGGACGGCATGTTGAGGTTAAGGACGTTTTGCAGGATGAAAAATGACAATGCAATCAGGCAGAGTCAATATGGTTTTATGAAAGGGAATTTGTATTTGACTATTGGAGTTCTTTGAAGGAAGTAACAAGCTAAGTACATAAGGATTACTTGCTGATGATTTTTTTTCTGACGGTTATTAGTCTGTGGCATTGATAGCAGTGCAGACAGGGTCATTGAATACTTTTGAGGCTAGATAAGATGGTAAAAGAGGTAACAGATGAGTATGGATAGAGTTGGTTACCCAGCAGGAAGCATCGAATTGACAAAAAATAGGTCATTTTTATGTCGGCAAGGTGTAACATGCGCGTGTAACTAGAATCAGTGCTAGGGGCCCAACTATTTACAAACTTTGTCAATGCCTTAGATGAAAGGATCTAATGAATGGCTAAAATTGCAGATGACACAGAGAAATGTAGCAGAGTAAGCTCTGAAGAAAATAAATGGAGTCTGCAAAGGGATATCGATCAATCAAGTGATTGGGGGGAAAAGTTATCAGGCGAAGCATAATGTGGGAAATTGTAAACTTGACAGTTTTGGCAGGCAGAATAGAAAAATGACATATTACTTAAATAAAGATTTCAGAATGCTGTGTTACATAGGGATCTGATATTTTGGGACATAAAATGCAAAATGTTTGTGTGCAAGTGCAAGTGTGAACAAGTGATTGGGAAGGCAAATGGAATATTATCATTCAAAGGGAAATAGAATATAAAAGTGGGAATGTTTTGCAGCAGTTGTACAGGACATTGTTAAACATTAAGAATGCAAACAAAAGAGAATAAGAACCAGGAGCAGGAGGTGGTGATTTTAGACGATCATGGCTGATCTGATTGTGGCCTTGACTTTCCTGTGCCCCAGCCCATACCTCTGACTCCCTTGACAATCGAAAACCGAATTTAGCCGAAAAAGTATTCAGTGACCCTAACTGCACTGCTATCAGGGAAGAAAATGCCACAAACTAATAATACAAAGATAATTTTTTTTCTGAAGGTCAAGTGGGAAACCACTTATTTTTAAACAATGTCCCCTGGTGTGTACAGTTTTGGTTATCTTACTTAAAAAAACCACATAATATCAGAAGTGGTTCAGAGAAAGTTCACTCCATTTTTGGGATGACTGAGTTATCTTTTGAAGAAAACTTGGACAGTTTTGGCTAGTATCCATTAGAGTTTAGGAAATAAAAGGTTATCTTCTTGAAACATACACGATTCTGAGCAGAGTTGACAGGGTAGATGTTGAAACGATGTTTCCTCTTGTGAGAATTACAGAGTTATAAATAAAGCATGTCTCATTTAAAACAGAGATAAGGAAAATATTTTTCTGTCTAAGGGTTGTGAATCAGTGGAATCCTCTTCCAGAGTATGGTGGAGACAGGGTCCTTGAATATTTTTAAGGCAGAGTTAGATTCTTGACTAACCAGTGTGTGAAAAGCTTTAAGAGATAGGCACCAAAGTGGAGTTGAGGCCACTGTCAAATCAGTCATGACCTTCTAAAATGGTAGAATAGGATCAAGATACTAATTGACCTACTCCCATTCCTAATTATATTTTGTAGTGTTTGTACCTTTAGAAACTTGGTCAACCTTGTTTGCTCTGGGCTCTTTGAATGAGGACCTTCATCACAGAAATCAGTTAATTTTCTATCCCTGCTTTGAGAGGCTACCGCCATTGTAAGTTCCTGACATCTAGACTCAAGCCCTCTAGCTTTTGACTATCTTTGAAGAATGACAAAATGCAATTTAGGTGCATTGTTGTGCATACGTTCTGTATTGTTAGCTTTTACCCAGAAAAGGTCCAAGTAGGCTAGACAAAAGCAATTCCATGTATAATGGTTGATTCTCGAACTTCCCTTAATCAGGTATCCATCGATTACATCTGTAAGGTAGCTACTTGGAATACCTCATATATGTTTACCAATTAATACTGTTTAAATCCGGCCACCAGAAAGGATAGTGTTAAGGGTTCTGAGGAAGGGTCACTGGACCTGAAATGTTAACTCTACGTTTTCTCCTCCACGGATGCTGCCAGACCTGCTGAGCTTTTCCAGCAACTTTGTTTTTGATAGTGTTAAGGGTCTTGTGGTACAGTAGTAGTGTCGCTGTCTCTGGGCCAGAATGTGGAGATGCTGGTATTGGACTGGGGTGGACAAGGTCAAAAATCACATGACACCAGGTCATAGTCCAACAGGTTTATGTGAAACCACAAGCCTTCGGAGTCTCGCTCCTTCTTCAGGTGTTAGTGAGAGAGGTGGCATCACACAGAATTTATTAGCAAAAAATCAAAGGGTCATAGGTTTGTTCAATACATTTGTATCAGTTCTAAGAGGGCTGTTAAATCTTTAATCAGTTAGAAAGGAGATGCAAGTTTCGATTGATTAATACACAAATTCCAGAATTTCTTTCAAGTCACTGCCCCGAGATAACTAGATGTTTTATTAGTGTACCAGAGGTGACGTCACAGCTCAGACAATACATTTTAGATGTGAGGCCTTGTTTAGAATAACTGGTTTTATTTTGAAAGTATGAATTTATAAAATGCCACATTAACAGTCCACAAATTGTGTGCTTTTTTAACAAAATAACATGTACTACAAATTACAAATCTGCAAATGCAAATTCACCCCATAGATTTGTGTGTGTCGCCTTGGAGGCCGCTTATCCAAAGATCAGAGGCTGCATGTCCTTGACTGCTGAAGTATTCCCCTACTGGGAGGGAACATCCCTGTCTGGCAATTGTCACGTGGTGTCCATTCATCCATTGTTGTAGCACCTCTATGGTTTTGCCAATATACCATGCCTCAGGGCATCCTTGCTTGCAGCATATGGGATAAACAACGTTGGCAGTCATGTGAGTATCTGCCGTGCACGTGGAGGATGGTGTTCCCATGTGTGATGGTAGTATCCGTGTCGATGATCTGACATGTCTTGCAGAGGTTGCCATAACAGGGTGTATAGTGTTGTAGTCAATGTTATCCTGAAGGCTGGGTAGTTTGCGGCAAACAATGGCCTGTTTAAGGTCTGGCAGTTGTTTGAAGACGAGAAGTGGATGCATAGGGAAGATCTTGGTGAGATGCTCACCATCATTGATAATTTGCTGAAGGCTGCAAAGGACATGGCGTAGTTTCTCCGCTCCCGGGAAGCACTAGACAACGAAGGGTACCCTATCGGTCGTATCCCGTGTCTCTCTTCTGACGAGTTCACTATGGTTTTTCACTGTGGCAAGTTGGAAGTGGCGATCAATGAGTTGAGCTTCGAATCCCGTTCTTATGAGGCCATCTTTCAACACCTTCAGGCGTTCGCTGTATTCCTCCTCATCTGAACACATCCTTTGTATGTGTAGGTCTTGTCCATAGGGATGGCTTTTTTAATATGATTCGGATAGAAGTTGGAGAAGTGCAGCATCGTGAGGTTATTCATGGGCTTGCAGTAGAGTGAGGTATTGAGGTGTCTGTCCTTGATGGAGATGTGTGTGCCCAAGAATGAGACTGATTTTAAACAGTGGTCCATGATAAGTCTGATGGTTGGATGAAACTTGTTGATACCACTATGTAGCTGTTTCAGCGATTCCTCGCCATTAGTCCAAAGGAAGAAAATATCGCCAATGTATCTGGTGTTTAGCGTTAGCCGGAGGCCTGTGCAGCAAAGATGCATGAACATGTTGGCATATTGGGGTGCAAATCTGGTCCCCATGGCTGTTCCATGTGTCTGGATGAAGAACTGGATGAAGGTGAAGACATTGTGGTCGAGGATGAAGCAGATGAGTTGTAGGATAGCACAAAAACAAAAGTTGCTGGAAAATCTCAGCAGGTCTGGCAGCATCTATGAAGAAAAAAATCAGTTAACATTTCGGGTCTGGTGACCCTTCCTCAGAACGGAGTTGTAGGATGGCGCCTGGAAATTTGCATTTGTTGGTATTGATTACTGATGCCGTCATCGTGGGGGATGCTGTTGTGGACTGCCAAAATGCCCATTGTGACGAGGAATGTTCCTGGTTCGATTGGTCCGTGGGGCTGAGTTTCTGTAAGAAATCTGCAGTGTCGTGACAGACGCTGGGGGTTCCTTTTACAATGGGTTTCAAGATGCCCTCGACATAGCCAGAGAGGTTCTCAAACAGGGTCCCATTGCCTGATACGATGGGATGTCCAGGTGTGTTGTCTTCGTGTACCTTCGGAAAGCAGTAGAAGTCCCCTACATGAGAATTACGTGGGATGAGAGTGCGTAGGGTACTCTGGAGGACTGGATCAAAAGTCTCGATTAATCTGTTGAGTTCAGGGGTGTGTTCTTTGGTCAGATTGGCAAGTGTAGTTGTAGTGTACCAGGTTATTCAGTTGTCTGTGTACTTGCTTGCAGAAGTCCGTTCTATGCTATATGACGATGGCTCCTCCTTTGTCTGCTGGTTTAACAATGTTGCAGTTGGTCTTGAGAGCATGCATGGTGTTGCATTGTACTTGGGTGACGTTTTGCACTACTTTGTGACTGTGGCTGATGAATCTGGTGTTCACACATTCCCTGACGTCTTGAGCATACATGTCGAGCCCAGGGCAACGGCCCTCCGGAGGGGTCCAATTCAACTCCTGCTTTAGCTACTCCACCACGCATCTCTCTGTCAACTGTTCTGGTTCTTTTGGTTGTCTCATGGGCTCACTGCTAACATCTTGGAAGAATTCCCGGAGTCTCATTCGTCTGATGAATTCCTCTGTCTGCTGCGAGAACGATGGGGTCCATTTTGATGGTGGGCCAGAAATTGAGCCCTCGGCTGAGAACTTTGATCTTGTCTGGTTGAAGGGTGTGGTTTGGTAAGTTGATGATGGTTTTCTCCGTGGTGGTACCATTTTCAACTGTGGTACCAGGGGAGGCCTGACTACTGCTGGTGGTGTTGCCAAGTTTCTCCAATTTCTTGATCTTGTGTTGCATGTAGGTGGTGTATTCCTGTTGCCTCGTCTGTTTGGCAGTGTCTTGTACTGTACTGCTGTCACTTGAGCGCAAGCTGTGAATATGGACTCCACCTAAAATGCATTGTCTGACCAGAGATGTCACTTCCGGTATGATGATGAAACGTTTAGTTATCTCGGCGCAGTGACTTCGAAAGAAATTCTGCAGTTTGCCATTTAATCAATCGAAACTTGCATATCCTTTCTAACTGATTAAAGATTTAACAGCCCTCTTAGGTTTGTTTAATACATCTGCATCAGTTCTATGACCCTTTGATCTTTTGCTTATAAATTCTGTGTCTGATGCCACCTCTCTCACTAACACCTGAAGAAGGAGCGGGACTCTGAAAGCTTGTGTTTTCAAATAAACCTGTTGGACTCTAAGCCGGCGTCGTGTGATTTTTTTGATCTGGGCCAGAAGGTGTGGGTTCAGATCCCACCTGCCAGAATTGTGTCATTAACATGTCCAAACAGGATAGGGGAAAGAATTAAATGAATGTTTTCACCAGTTCTGTTTGGCTGCAGGGCCAAAAGATAACTGCTCAACATTCCCTGTTTGTTACTGTTGTGATATCCTTATATATAGTCAAAGTTCTGCAATTTAAGAAAACATAGACAATTAAATCCCACGTGCAGGGGCTAGCTCAGTTGGCTGGATGTCTGGTCTATGATGCAAAGTAATGGCAGCCGTGTGCGGTCAATTCCCGCACTGGCCGAGGTTACCATGAAGGACTCTCCTCAGCCTTTCCTGAGGAGTCGTGATAGTCAGGTTAACGGGAGAGCAGCCCTGTAGTCTGGTAAGACTGTGGTGACTTCATCTTTACCTACACAGATATTACTAATGTAGAGTTATGAAATAATATTTGCAGCTTATTTTTATCTAGGTTCTTTTATTTCTCTATATAATGCTTTGCATTGCAGAACAAAGTCATCTTGATTTTGACCACAAGGACAGGCTTTACAATGATCCCATTCATGAATCAGACTTGTCCATAGGCGAAACTGAACTTACTTTTTTTTAAGAAAGATATTGACAAGTACTTACTTTGTGGTGTTTTAAGTTTTATTTTATTGTCCTATAATTAATACAAAATGGTGACTATCATTAACTACTTCACTCACACAGGCTAGGAAAAGTGGCAATTAGTACACGTCGGTGACTCTTCAGTAAAATCGCCATAGGGCTTCTGTCTCCCTAAAGATGTATATTTATGTATTCAGTATATTTTCCGTATTGACAATCAGAAAAGCAGGAAAACTACTTGTGCATGCCACGTGAAAAGCTAGCAAGTTACCATTTAGTATAAATGTGACACAAGCAGTTGTAAACTCAGGGACTAAGTTAAATGATATCCTATGGTGATGCAGTATTAAGAGAATACAGTTAATAAGAGACTAAAATTTGTGATAAAAATTGCAATTTTAATCCTAGTCAGTTGGCCCCAATCTTTGGAAGCAAAGTTGTCAGTTGAAATGGCAAAATAATCATTTAGTTGTCTTCAAGTACTATTTTGTTATTTATAAATATTTTCTATGAAATTATAAAACAAGTGAATTTATAATTTTGAAACTTTTGCTTTCAAACGAAAAAAGCAAAACAATTTTATGACTAAACAACAATTCATCAAACTCTGTGAAACAAGACTAAAGTTAGGATATTTGTCTTAAGGTTTCAAATTCAAGTTGAAATTAAATTTAAACTATTTCTGATTAAATCAAAACTTAAACACCTTCCAAAACTTCTTTTTGCCTTTTTGAAGTGCCATTCCAGCAGCCCTCTGCTCTTTACAATAGCCATGTTCACGTACAAACAGACAATGAAACCTTGTCAAGCTTATTAAGTGAAAGGCATAGAATAAAAAAAGAAGTACTACGTAGAAAGGAACCATGTGACCCATTGAGAATGAACGACCACAAACAAAGTGCAATCCAGCTGTCTCCTAGTCCTAAAATTTTTGCATATTGCTGTTTTCTTTTGGTGCGTCAATTATTTATCCAGTTCCCTTTTACAGAATACGACCGAATCTGACCTTACAACCCTAACCAACGATATGTTCCTGATCCTAGACCTTTGTTGCATTTAAAAAAAAATGATTTTCCTTTTGTTACTTCTATTTTGCCAACCACTTTAAATCTCAGCACTCCTTTCATTAAGCCTATGGACCATTGTAAATGGTTTTGCTTTACTTGCTCTATCCAAACTATTCATGATTTTAGACACCACTATCAAATCACCAGTATAAGGAAAGCATGCCAAGCTTCTTCAGTCTATCGTGTATCTGTTCTGTATACTTACCAAAACATCATGGATTTCCTAAAGTGTTTTGACCAGAATTGGAGACAATATTCCAGCTGGGGCCAAACTAATGTTTTATTCGAGGTTAATAAAGCTTCTTGGCTGTTGTATACTATGCCTTTATTTATAAATCTTAGGATTCCGTCTGTTTTGTTAACTACTTTGTTCACATATCCCGCTACCTTCACAAATTTATGTATGGTACGCACAGGTGTCCTTTTTGCTTCCACCTCTTTATAATTGTACCATTTAACTGGTATAGTTTTTCTTTATTCTTACTACCTAAATTTTTTTTTGGAATATATTTCATCTGTCATGTATCCACCTTTCCATGAGTCCTCTGAAAATCCATCATTCACATAGATGTTCAGTCGAACTTAAGTTTTGTTGAAAAAAGATACATTTTTGTCAAAGCTTTTCAACTTGTACTCGTCAGGACAGTTTGCAAGAATATTAGTATAAAGTGGAACAACATTTTTATACTGTATGAACAAAATGAGCTGAATATTTGCAGGTTGACTCTGGTGGAGACGCTGTGGAGAATGCATAGTTAGATGGTGACTGATAGTTAACTGCCCTTGAGAAATTAACCAGAGAATGGCTGATGGCTCTTTGAAACAGGTGCAGTATGTGAACATTTTGCCTTGGTTTAAGTTTAAAGATAGCATGGCAGTTAACTGTGAGTTCATCAACTAACTTGCCAATCAGCACACTCTGCTCAAGTAGAACAATGTTGTTCTCTTTTACATTAGTATTCTTGCAACTTGTCCTGATGACTGCATGACAAGAAGCCTCCACAACGTGTGTTTTTTCAGCAACGTTTACTCCATTATTGTTGGCTGTCCACATGATACCATCATTCTTAAGGGAAGCAAGCAGCACTTATCAAATACATTTCCAATGACAAGTGATAGGGTGAATTTTCTGCTGATTATGAATTTTATGTCTAGTAAATGTTCCTGTAATTTATTAGAAAGAAAATCCATGTTTCAGCAATACCTCAGCAGTTGGAAATTTGACACAAAACATATTGGAAAAACAATTCTGTTTGGAACAGGTAGTGGCTACTCTGCTGAGCAAACTTATCTTTTTCTCAGATGGTCAAAAGCCTGACATAATTTCTGTTTCTATTTGCTGTGCTGTTAGACTACAAACTGTGTACCAGAGGTGTGTTTCACAATCAGAGTCTAATGCGTTAATTATTTTCCTTCATAGGTCAGTTCAGTAATACCTGCCGATTATGCGGAGCGATCTTTTCACAAAAGAGTGGCTTGGTGGACCATATTCAGTTTGTACATCAAAGATATAAGCCTCATGTATGTACACTCTGTGATCAGAAGTTTCGACGACCATCAGAACTCAAAACACATGTCGAACGGCGCCATGACAGTGAGTCTCATCTTCAACAGGGAAGTCTATCCGGGACATTTTACCAGCAATTTCTCCCAGATTTACTACATTCACCATGAATGCCGGAACTGTGCTAAATAATTCCAGCAATTCTGATGTCTTTTTTATATTTTTACAAAGCACCGATGATATTGTTATTTCCAATTACTTTAAACTAGTAATTCAAATGCCTCTCCTGCATAAAATAATTGGTCATCTTTCCCCTTCCCCTCCCCCATTTCTGAAGAAGGGTCTCGACCCAAAACGTTAGCTTTCCTGCTCCTCTGATGCTGCTTGGCCTGCTGTGTTCATCCAGCTCTACACCTTGTTATCTCTGGTCATCTTTCTATTTCATTTCAGGTTTTATTGTTTGGTAATTAATTTACTAATTAAAGCTGATAATACCTGTAGATCTCATCTACAAATAATTTTCCTTTGTGTTTCTCAGATTATCACTTTAAAATAAATAGAAACATTATTTTTGAATTTAATCTTTATTTGCAAGTTAGTACAGCCATCACTTTGAAAATTAGGCTTGCATCTTTAATACAGTTCATTGTCTGAGCTTGGAGCATAATTGTGCATTTTTTCTGGCTTATAGATTGCTTATATGATGTCCAAATTAGCAATATTAAATTTGTTGAAAACAGGCTGTTAAAATCACCAGGCATGTTACCAATAAAGGTACAAGCCATGTAGAATACCCTTGATGTAATTTTTTTTTTACATCTTTCTGATTTTTTTTCTTTTGTGGGTTTCCTATCCCACAGCAGCATCTCATGAAAGAACAACCTGTGTGAATGAAACAGCTAGAGACATGCCTGTGAGTGTCACGTCTCATGGTAAATGTTTTTATATTTTCGATCTTTGAATGTTAATGTTAGCCATTAGGTGTCAGTCTTGGCTCACTGGGAGCACTGTTGTCTGAGTCATAATGTCACATATTCAAGTCCCATTTCAGCCCATAACCAGAATGAAACTCGAATGAAGTAATGAGGAGAGGTTGCATTATCACAAGTGTTGTTGTTAAACACTTCTGCCCCATCAGATTGAGGTAGAGATTCCTTGATGCAATTAGTTATAGAACTAGTATTCTTCTAGTACGCTGGCAGTTATTTGTTCCCTAAATGAACACGATAAAAATAGATTATTTAGTTAATTGTTATGTTGCTTTTTGGGACCTTTCTATACCTCAAATGGCTGTTGCATTTCCCTGCATTCAACATTCTGGTGGTGTGACCCTTCTAAATTTGCTTTTTCTCCACAAATGCTGCCAGACTTGATGAGATTTTCCAGCAATTTCTGTTTCTTTTTCATTTTAAAATGGAGACAATTTGCTCAAGTCAGAGGCAGTGCCAAATGTATTCTCAGACTCTTTACTGCATCCTTCATTAAAGCTCTGAAGATTAGGCTTCAAAGTAACCTGCTGTATTTGGACTTCTAGAAGATGTTCAACAGGTACCTCACAAAAGGTTAAGTCATAACATAAGAGCCCCGTGCTAGAGTAGTACTTTGGCATGGATAGGAAATTGTCTAACGAGCAGGAGACAGCAAGTGGGGATAAGGTGTTCTTTTTCAGGTTCGCAACCTGTAACCAGTGGGTTTCCACAGGGATCAGTGCTGAGACAGTAACTATTTACAATATGTATTAATGACTTGAGGAAGGAAGTGAATGTAATGTAGCGGATTTGGAGATAACACAAAAATAGGTAGAAAAGCAGGCTACAAAGGGGATACAAAAATTTACAGTGAAATATTGATAGGTAAGTAAGTGGGCATAAAGTTGGCAAATGGAGCATTATGAGGGAAAATGTGAAGTTGTTCATTTCGGAAAAGAACATTTATTTAAATAGAGAAAAGTTGCTACACAAAGGGACTTGGGGGTACTTGTGCATGAAATAATGGAAAGCTAGCACACAGGGGCAGCAACTAATCAGGAAGGCTAATGGAATGTTGGCCCTTATTTCAAAGAGTTTGAAGTTTAAGAGTAGGGATGTCTTACTACTACTGTGCAAGGTGCTAGTGAGACCACATCTGGAGTACTGAGAGCAGTTTTGGTCCACTTATTTAAGGAAAGATATCATTTTATTGGAGGAGGTTCAGAGAAAGTTGACTAGGATGATCCCTGCTAAGAAGTGATCATCTTTTCGAGCAAAGATTAAACCGGTTTGGACCTTACTTACTGGAGTTTAGAAGAATGAGAGGTGATCTCATTGAAACATATAGAATTCTTAAGGGATTTGAAAGGGTAAATGCTGAGAGGATGTTTCCCCTCATGGGGCAGTCTAGGACATAAGGGCAAGGTCTTGGGATAAAGGAAGGGCAATTTAAGACTGAGTGGAGGAGGAATTTCTTCTGAGGGTTGAGTCTATTTGGAACTCCTTGCCACAGAGAGCTGTGGGGACAGTATCCTTGTGTATATTTAAGGCTGAGATAGATAGGTTCTTGATCAGTAAGGGAATCAAGGGTTACAGATGGAAGGCAGGAAAGTGGGCACGAGGAGTGTCGGAACAGGCTGGAGGGATTGAATGGCCTACTCCTGTTTCTGTTTCTTATGGTTCAACCTGTTACACACAGTCATAAATCACACAAAACTATCTCGATATTGTGTGAAAGGTGTGTTGATAATTATGATGACTTTTTGTTGGATAATGACGGTGTGATATTAGGACACAGCATAAATAATGTACTTATTTAAAATCAACATATACTATGAAATACTTCAATAGCTCCTTTTCATTTCAGACTAGCTTCTAAAAATTAAAATGTCCTACTTGTGATCAAGGAAAAAAGTTTAACTAATTAGTAATGATTTTATTGTCTGCCAACATCCTGTCAAATCTCCTCAGCTGACAGATTATTTGGTAAACACAATCAGGAACATTTGTCAACCAGTACCCAGCATTTAGCTCTAATTTGGAAGATTTCATCTTTTTAAAAAAAAAAACCTCTCTTTTTGGAATTCACTAATCCACACTGCGGTGGACACTGTATAAAATAAAGGAGACAGATGTTTTTAATTGGTAATGGCTTAAAAAGTTATGGGGAGTGTGCAGGAAAGCTCAGAGATGAGATCAACAATGATCATATTAAATGGCGGAGCAGGCTTGAGGGGCTGAATTGCCAACTCCTGCTCTTAGTTCTTATGAATTGGGCAATTCAGCCGAACAAGATCTCTCTCATCAAAACTCGCTGTGTGTTGTAGGAGACTGTGAGGCCATTAGCAGTACTTCAGCCATGAGTTTCATTGGTTTCATCTGTTCAGAACTGGCTGGGTTAGACACATTGCCTGTGCTCAGTTGAGAGTTTTACTGCAATGCTTGTACAGATGGAAGGTGTGACATTCCAAAGAGATGATGAGTTAACTTTTGTTTTGGTAATTTGGAAATTTCTACAAGCGGCCAATTTACTCATTCTGTGTTTGATAGCAACCATTTTAAATCCAACAAGAGTCAATTTTGAAAAAGAATCTAAAGAGCATCGTTTTCTTCTAAAAATAAATCAATTTAGGATCTACTTTCAAAGCTTGTGGTCATGACATTTGACATAATAATATGTAGCTTTCCTGCTTACAGATCACTTGCCCAAGATTCAGATATATAATGTTGCACCTTTGGTCAAATCCTACATCAATGAAAATGGTGAACAGAAATTATCAGGTAGGGCTTAAGTCTGTTTTGTTTAAACACACAGGCTATTATTATGCAAAAGGAAGGAAACTGAAAATAATTCTACTTAGTTTAATTACAGTATTTTGTTTTTACTTTGCACATTTTCCTGCCCTGCAGATGAAATGAAATTTGTCCAAGATGCTATCAATCAGGTTAACACTGCCAGAATTATGACTGTGAGAAACAAAAAGGCAATCAAAAGACCTAAGAGTAAGTTACATTTTCCCAATGCTCTTTACAATCTGAAAAGTTTAGCCTTATGCCAGGACAAGATTTGGAAGGCTCTGGCAGTTCCCCTGTTATTTGCTTAAGTAGCAACTTTTTATTAAAACGCCAGACTGACCATTCAGTTATCAAGGAAATCACAGAAAAGCTTAAATTGTGTACTTATCAATGTTCACAGTGGCACACATATCACTTGGAATTCTAATGAAAGGTGGCTGGACTCGAAACATTGGCTTTGTTTTTCTTTCCAGGGATGCAGCCAGACCTACTGAATTTCTCCAGAAACTTTGTTTTTGTATCCTTTGAGAGTCACTGGATTTTCCTTTTACTTGTAAAGGGACCTAGTGGCCAAAAATAATTTTCTGACTGATGTTTCACGTTACCTTTCCAAAGACCAAACAAAATCATAAAATGTTAATCCAGTAGTAAAGAAAAGAATTCCAAAGTTGGTTCTAAGCATAACTGTGTGATAATCACTTCTACATAAATTAGTCTTCAATTTTGTTTTGTGCTTTAATTTTGCACAGTAAAGCATTTAAATGGTAATTAGTTAACTACTATTTTAATAGGGATTAAATGATTTAAGTTGTCTAATGCTTTCTACACTGTCACAATCATCTAGTCAAAATCCTGGAAATCTCTCCAAACAGTACAGTGCTTGTACCTTCATAAAATGTACCACAGAGGTTCTAGAAGCTGATTCACCAATTTTTTGAGGAATATTGGGAAATGGGCAACAAATGCTGGCATAGCCAACAGGACACATCTCATGAATAAATAATAAAAAAATTCCTGCTCAAAATATTTCCAAATTGAGAAATTTCTAGTTTTAGATTTTGTTCAGGAGAATGGTACATTCTTAATGCTTCAAAGAAACTAACAAATCAGACTTTCCAGACGCCTGGAATCATGAATTACATTTGTCTGGATCTGCCATTGGTTTGTTGCCTGATCCTGCAATCGACTTGAACATTAATTTGCAAAGTCAACATTCTGACTTCAATTAATGAACACTTTTTTTGACAAGGTGATATCTGGAACACATTTTTCTGAAACAATGTTGAATTTTGCTGCTTTGAAAACTGCTTGTTTCATATTCCAAACTTTTTTTTTCCAACTTCACTCTACAAAAATCAAGCTACCTTTGTCCTTATAGATCAGCAATATGGATGATTCCTGTGCTGTGTCACATAAATACACTGATTCAGAGAAAAAGGATGCTGTGAATGTTACAAATTATTGCAAAACTTTGGAACATAAAACAAAGAACTGCAGATGCTAGTAATCTGTAACAAAAACAGAAATTGATGGTGAAGAGTCACCAGACTCAAAACATTAACTCTACTTTCTTCTCACACCTGCTGAGTTTCACCAGCGATTTGTTTTTGTTTGCAAAATGATACCTGTTCCTTTTCCTTTTGATGATCTGAGGTACCGGTCAGGTGGGATGCGCCCCAACATCTCTGCCATGATTTTCTATTCTACATTTAGCAGCAAGGCAATTATTTGTTTTCTTCTCAGTTTTCTTTCCGGACCTTACGGTTATGGACATTAAAAATGACTTTTTTTTGAGTCATGGACAATGGAACATCTCCTGATTTTTTTTTTATTACTCATTAATGGGTTGAGGGCATCGCTGACTAGGCAGCATTTATCACCCCTCCCTAATTGCCCAGAGGGAAGTTCAGAGTCAACCACATTGTGTTAGGTCTGCAGTCATATGTAGGCCAGACCAGATAAAGATGGCAGTTTCCTTCCCTAAAGGACGTTAGTGAACCAGATGGGTTTTTCCTGTGATTGACAATGGATTCATGGTCATCATTGGACTCTGAATTCAATAGGGGAACTACGAATCTAATGTTGACCATGAATCCATTGTCAATTGTCAGAAAAACCCATCTGGTTTACTGACGTCCTTTAAGGAAGGAAACTGCCATCCTTACCTGGTTTGGCCTACATGTGACTTCAGACCCATAGCAATGTGGTTGACTCAGAACTGCGCTCTGGGCAATTAGGGATGGAGAATAAATGCTGCCTAACCAGCGACACCCTCGTTGTGTGAATGAATTAAAAAAAAATGTTCCATTGTCCATGACTCAAAAAAAAGACCTATAATATGCAGATGGGAGATGCCTTGTTCCTGAACTGCTTGTTGAAAAATGCAAAGGAATAGTTCACCTTGATTCATTGACTTGTTCCTCTTCCTCAATGATTACAAGTGCTTCACCTCAGTTTAAGTCTAATGCTGCCACCTCAGTCGAAGTTGAAAATTATATAGCATGCACAAATCATGTCCTGCTGTGGTCTTTCATTCACCAAATGAATATCCATCTGAACTGTAAATGTTCCATCACCAAGGAAAGGAATAATTGATGTGAACATTGACCTGGTGTCTATTCTGAACAGTGCAATATTGCTCCTTGTGACATTTAAGAGGAATATTACAGCAAGACTGTGCTCAATTTAGCATATTTCTTCCTCCATTGACTGCGAGTGACCTCTTCCTGTTCTGTTTCTACACACTGTGATTGAGATTGCAGACTTAGAATTAGAATTAGCTTTACAGTCACTTGTACTCACGCGAGTACAGTGAAAAGTTTACAAGTCACTACCTACAGTGCCATCTTAGGTACAAAGCAGAAATAAACAAGGTTGCAGGAATCTGTGTGGAGCTGGAGGAACAAAGCAGGCCAGGCAGCATCAGAGGAGCAGGAAAGCTGACGTTTTGGGTCAGGACCCTTCTTCAGAAATGGGGGAGGGGTAGGGGACTCAAATAAATAGAGAGGAGGGGTGGGGCCGGGGAAGGTAGGTGGGATGGTGATAGGTGAGTGCAGGTAGGCAATGGTGGGGGTTGGTCAGTGAGGTGGGAGAGAAGACAGAAAGGTCAAGGAAGCGGGGATGAGAGGGAGGGTTGGTCATGGGATGAGGTCAGGAGTGGGGAGATTTTGAAGCGAGTAAAGTCCACATTGAGACCACTGGGTTGTAGGCTCCCAACGGTACTGCAGCTGTGGCCTAACCAAAGTTTTGTACATCTCCAACGTAATCTCCCTGCTGTTAGAATCTGTGCCACAACTGATAAAAACAAGTGCCCTATAATGTTGCCTTAAGAACCCTAGGAACCTGTCTTGCCACCTTCAGGAATCTGTGGACAAGCACCCAAAGATTCCCCAGTTCTCCTGAACTTCTTAGTGTGCAATTCATGGAGTACTCCCTTGTCTTGTTACTTCTTCCAAAACGCATCCCCTCACACTTACCAGGGTTAAGTTCCATCTGCCACTAATCTGCCCATCTGACTAATCCATCTATCTCCTCATCTGTAACCTAAGGCCTTCTTCCGGTCAACTGCCCATTTAATCTTTGTGTCATCTACCAGCTTACTTATCATCACCCCCTACATTTTCTTATATATAAACAGATCACGAACAATAAGGGACCCTGTGATATGCTAATGGACCTGGCCTCTAACCATAGCAACAGCCTTTCAACACCACCTTCTGTTTCATATCACTAAGCCAATTTTGGATCCCATTTGCTTTTACTGTCTTTATCAGTCTCCCGTCTGGGACCCTGCCAAGAAATATGTATAAAAGATATCAACTGCACTACCCTCATCTACATAACCTCCCTATGACAAAGTCATGCTAACTATCTTTGATCAAACCTCCCCTCTCCACCTGGAAATTAATTCTCTCCTTCAGAATTTTCTCTATTCGTTTCCCTACCACTGACATGAGACTCTCTGTTCTGTAATTTCCTGGTCTCTCTCTATCACCCTCCTTGAAAACTGGAATCACATTAGCTGTGCACCAGTCCTCTGGCAACTCTGCTGTGGTCAGAGAGGTATTAAAATTTGGGATCAGAGTCTCTGTAACTTTTTCCCTGGTATCCCACAGCAGTCAGGATACAGCTCATTCAGACCTAGGGATCTGTCCACTTTTACGACTGCTAAACCCTGCAGTATCTCCTCACTTCCTATGTCAAACTCTCAAGAACCTCAGTTCCTCTTCCACAATTCTGTACCTACATCCTCTTCCCAAAATGAAGACAGGCTTGAAGTATTAACATCCTACCAGTGCCCTATGGCACCACACACAGATTAGGGTCCAAGGGGGCAATGGGACCTTTTGTTGGCCTGGTTATCCTCTTTCCTTTGATATACCTGTAGAATATTTTGGGATTAGTCAATTAGACACCTCCATGGACCCCTGCAATGTTTGCGAATTTCAAGGGAGTAAGCAACTCACTTCAAAGTCTATTCTTCTCCTTTGTGGACAGATAACTTAAGAATGGCAATCCTTTCTGCAGGAGACTCCATGTCATTCAAAACTGCGATTTTAAAATCAGTATTTCCTAATAAGGTATTGTTTTAATGTTATTATCACAGCATCATAAACATGCAGTGATGTAACAAGAATGTATTTTCATGTTAGTTTTGGAATCCATAGCCTAATGGTCTCTTGCTGTCATTTTTATATTTTCAGGAGTGCACAAATGCAGCCTTTGTGGGAACAAGTACTTGTATTATTCTACTCTTTGGAAACACAGGCTGATGCATGGAGGTACACTTCCCTTCAAATCTTACAACTTTTGAGATAATAGGAAATTTATTTCAGCTAATGTGATGAATGGCAAATTCACCGTCTATAAACACACTTACAGCATTTAGTTTCTTCACAGTGTTACTTGCCTTAAAAAAAGCTTAGCAAGTATGAATTCTTTTGATTTATTTCCCAAAATATGTTCAGCAGCTTCTGGGTTTCTCAGGCTAGCAAAGAGGCCTGGTGTCTCCCATGTTGATGGTTGAAAACTTTCTCTTGTGCTTTGTCATTATTGACCCCCAATGTTGGATTGGGATTTTGCAGGAGGCCTTACTATACGAAATTAAAACTTCTTAGAAGTGGGCAGGAAAAGTCAAAGACAAAGAGATCAATGCTGCCATTCTGTACTTACCAGCTGGAAGGAAGTCAGCATTGGGAAGGATGTGCATGGGGGCCACTTGTTCACACCTCAATCTCAGGAAGTCGCGTAGAACATAGAGGGATGTGAACCAAATGGAGCAGAGACAGGAAAGTAAGAAGTGGACCCTCTAGGCTGGAGAGATTCAGTTATGAAGAGAGATTGGTCTGACTGGGTTTGTTTTCTTTAGAGCAGAGGAGAGGTATAAAATTATGAGGGATACAGATAGGGTAGATAGGAAGGAATTCTCCTTTGGAGGGATCAGTGACTGGCGGCAGGGAAGAGGGAGGGGCATAAATTTAAGGTAAAGGACAGAAGGTTTAGAGGAGATGTGAGGAAAATCATTTTCATCCAGAGGATGGCAGGAATCTGGAACCCTCTGCCTCGAAGGATGATAGAGGTAGAAACCCTCATAAGATTTGCAAAGCAAAGCATACAAGGCTATGGACCAAATGCTGGAAATGGGATTAAAATAGTTAGCTGGCTGTTTTTGACTGGTGCAGGCGCAATGGGCCAAAAGGCCTTTTTCTATGCTATAACTGTATCTAGTTGTAATTCGTAATTTATGTGGACCATACATCCAGTGACTCATTACATTTAGTCAAGCTGCTCTCAATAACCTTTCATGTCCAATGAAATTATGTTAGACTAAACTTTAGTTTTCTTGTTTTCAGTACGCACACAACATTAATCAAGGAAGCTAGTGTGGTTATAGTGTAGATTAACATATATAATAATGTCTAAGGTTTTAGAATAGATTTGTAGCTTGGGTTATGGATGTTGAGGTTGGTTGGCTCGCTGAGCTGGTTCATTGTTCCGCAGACGTTTCATTACCCTGCTGGGTAACATCATCAGTGCAGCCTCCGATGAAGCGCCGTTGTGTTTTCCCGCCTGTTATTTAGACTCTGGTGTCCGTTGAGCTGGATTACCTCACTTCTGGTTTTCCTTCGCAATGGAGTGTATATGGGGTCTAGCTCTATGTTTTTATTGATGGCTTTCTTAGTGGAGAACCAGGCTTCTAGAAATTCCTGTGCTTATCTCTGCTTCGCCTGTCCCAAGATCCTGGTGTTGTCCCAATTGAATTGGTGGTTTTTCTTATCCATGTGGATGGAGATGAGTGAGTATTGGTCGTGTCTTTTTGTTGCCAGTTGATGTTCGTGTACTCATGGTTAATTTTCTTCCCATTTGTCCAAAATAATGTTTGTCGCAGTCTTTGCAGGGAATCTTGTATACGACATTGGTCCTGTCCTGGGTAGTGGGTCTTTGGTTCGGGTGGGCAGTTGGCATAAGGTTGGTGTGGGTTTGTGTGCTACTCTGATGCCCAGTAGTCGTAGGAGTCTTGTGGTCAGTTCAAATGTGTTCTTGATGTAAGGTAGTGTGATGAGTGTGTTGGAGTGTGTAGTATCTTCCTGGTGTTGTTCAGGTAATAGGCATCTTCTGACCCAGTTTTTCAGGTATCCATTGTCTTTGAATACTTGGAAGAGGTACTCTTCTCTTTGGTGTAGTTTTGTGCTGCTGCAGTATGTGTCCGTTTAAATAATGTTTCCACGCAACTTTGTTTGTGTGTGTTAGGGTGGTTGCTGTTGAAATTCAGTACTTGGTCAGCGTGTGTGGCTTTCCTGTGTACCTTTGTTAGGATTTCCCCATTGGTCCTGCATTCCACCATGACATCCAGGAATGGGAGCTATTTGTTCTTCTCCTCTTCTCTGGTGTATCTGATCCCGGTGAGGGTGTTGTTTATTAGTTCATATGTCTCCTCTGGTTTGGTCAGTTTAATAATGACGAAGGTGTCATTCACATAGCATATCCATAGTTTTGGCTGGATTAGCGGAAGGGTCATGCTTTCAAGTCTCTGCATCACCGCTACAGCTATTAGTCCAGAGATAGGTGATTCTATGGGTGTCTCGTTGATCTGTTCATATATTTGGCCGTTAAAGGTGAAGTGGGTGGTGAGGCATGGGTCTAGTAATGTCAGCATGTTGTCTGTGGAGATGGTGTCACTAGGGTCTTGTTCTTGTTTTAATAGTGTTACCAGTGTTTCTTTGCTAGAGGTATGTGTATCAATGTATATACAACGATAAAAGCTTTTGACTTTCAAGTTTACAGCTTATGAACGTTTATGTATTTAATAAATACATTTTTACTTGCAGGGAAAAAGAAACATTTCTGTCTACTGTGTGGATCAGGCTTTTTTAGGTCAAAGAATTTGGACATTCACTTCAAGTCAATACATCTTCAGGCCTTTAAGTTCAAGTGTCCTCACTGTGAAAAAGGTTTCAATCGACCTATTGATGCTCAAAAGCACATCATTATTAGGCATACAGGTAGGTTTTCAAGTGACGTGTAAATGTTTATGTTCTGAATAAGAATTGTAATGAATACAAAACATTTCTTTTTCTCTACATTTGCTGCAAGATCTGTTGAGTTTCCCTAACATTGTGTTTATTTCAGATCTCCAGCATCTTTCATTGCTTTCAAGTGTGTGTTCTACCTAGTCACGCATATGGCTAATGATGTAAATTATCCATATTTGATTCTGTTTTAAATATCATTTGAAAGGTAAAAATTATCCCTCTGAATAACCTAACACAATCAATCAATTAAAGGAAAAATAATGAAACTTTCTCTGCAGAGTACAAATTTTGGCAAAAAAATTTGACCAAACACTTGGTAGTTGTGAAAGGACAAAAGGATGACCCAGATGGCTTTCAGTCTGGTGTTCTTGCATCCATAGATGTGTGTCACTAGACACTTTCATTTGTCACTGAATTCTCTTCAGATGCAGTACATTCAGGAGATGTCAAGAGAAAAGTCTTCCAGAAGGCTTGGAGAGGAGGTTTTTCAGTTTGTCAATTCTATCGTGGGATCCTCGAGAGAGTTTTTTCAAAGATTGGAAAGACTGAGCTGGGAGTCTTTCCACACGTTACACAACTGAATTCCAAAACACATTAGTTACAACTCCTGACAGCCTTAAAAACTCTTTTGCTGGAAGTATCATATCTGAGTTCAATTTTTGACTTTAAGAAAAATCTCTTTTCAGAAGTGTCTATATTTAAAAATCTCTATTCAGTGACCCTTTTTAAAATAAAAGCATCTCCTCCCTATTGTAAATGGACTGATTTTCACAATCCTTAAGACATCTTAAGGATAAAACAGATTTGCATTTATAGAATGCCTTAGAGTTCTCAGGATAGCTCAAAGTCACAGTTCCAGTTTCAGCTAATGAATAACTTGTAAAAATGCTAAAATTTATTTGACAGTTATTTGCAAACCTCAAAAATAGCAATGGATAATTAATTCAAAAATACCTAAAGAAATCATTGCATTTGTATGAAGTTAAATAACAAGCTGTTAGCATTCAGAATAGAAATATCCAAGCAAGAATCCAAGTTTCAGAAATTCACAAATACAGCAGCCTTAAATATTCCTGACTTTGTACAAAGTACAAATATTCTGAAGAAATGGCATCATAGGTCTCAGTAGCAGTGCCTGCTTACCCAGTCTCAGTCCAGTCCAGTCTTCCATCAGTTGACAGTGCTACTCAGACACTGAACCTGTCCATTGCAGACAGCATCGGTTTCTGATAAGGACCAAATGGACAGCACCATATTTGGATGAGAACCAGGCAGAAATAATTCTGGAACCTACGGGAACTAAAGCTGAGGCACAGTTCTGCTAGAATATATTTTTAGTCTTCAACAGAAGACATGCAAAGTGCAAGATGCATATAGGAGCCAAAAAAGAACGTCAATGAGAGGCAATATTCTCTCAGACTATTCAGGTGATTGTACAATATATTCAGGATCTCTTAACTGCTCTGTCAGTATACTGCAATCAAACTGTCAAAACATACATCATTACTGAAATGTCATTTTGACAACTGGTCAAAACAAAAATGGTCTTCAGACTCCAGTGCAATGAGGAAGCTGGTTTTAACATAGGCCAGTCTCTCAACTAATTGTTTAATTCGGTACGTACTTCAAAGGCATGAACTATAATAACAATAATAAAAAAAACCGAAAGAACTGCGGAAGCTGGAAATCTGAAACAAAACTAGAAATTGTTGGAAAAGCTCAGCAGGTCTGGCAGCATCTGTGGAGAGAAAGCAGAGGTGACATTTTGGGTCCATTGACCACTTGGGTTCTGAAGAAGGGTCACTGGACCTAAAACGTGAACTCTGATTTCTCTCCATGGATGTTGCCACTCCTGTTGAGATTTTCCAGCAATTTATGGTTTTATTATAATAACAATAGTATATTCATGTAGCATTTCTTTAATTTCCAGATTTGAAGAACTTCATTTGTCGAATTTGTAATAGAAACACAGAGACGGCTTCTGCACTGCAGAATCACATCAAAAAGTACCACTCCCCAAGTAAGTAAACTTAAGTTTGCCATAATTAATAAGGTTATGCCTTGTAAAAACAAAAGCATTGTTCATTTGGATAAGTTTCAACAGTTTGCCAGTGTTTTAAATGCATTTAATTTTATTTCCATATGCTGGGATATATGTCCTATCCCACAGCCAGGACAGACCCTCCAAAGATGGTGTCAGAAGGAAATTGCTTTGGCAGTCTTCAGCATTGACTCTGGACCCCACTAACACTCATGGCATTAACTCAAACATGGGCAAGGAAACCTACCAAACACCACTTAACTGTTCGCCTTGAATTGATAAATCAGTGTTCCTCATGTTGAACACACTTGGAGGAAGGAGAAGGTGGAAAGAACACAGAATGTACAGTGAGAGACTTCGATGTTCATGATATACAATGGCTCAGCAGTACCACAAGTAGCTAAGCTGTCCAAGTCCTAAAGGGTAAATCTGCCAGACTGGATCTTGTGGTAGGTGGTAAAGGGGGCTAACAAGAAGAAAACACCTGCTCGCCCTGTTACACATTCATCTGTCCGGGACAGTATATTGGTGGGAATAACTACCACATAGTCCTTGTGGAGACTACGTCCCATCTTCAGGCCAAAAATACCCTTTGTTATGTTGTGCAACATTACCAATACGCTACATGGGATGAATTCAGAAGATAAGAGTAGCTAAAACTGGATGCGTAATAAGGCACTGTGGGCCATCAGCATCAGAATTACATTCAGCTGCAATCTGTAACCTCATGGCCCATCAAGCAAGGTGATCAACCCTGGTTCAATGAAGAATGCAGGCATACTTAAAAATATGAGGTGCCTTTCCTGATGAAGTTACAGCACAGGACTACTTGCTGCCAATTAGCAGAGGCAACATGCAACAGAGTTGAGCGATCCTGCAAACAATGGAGTAGTTCAAAGCTCTGCAGTCCTTCAAGTCCAGTTGTGAATGGCAGGGAACAACTAACAGGAGGCAGGATTTCCACATATACCACCACCCTACACAGTGGTGAGAAAAACTGAAGTATTTGCAATTACCTTTAGCCAGAATGCTGAATGGAGAATGCATCTCCCCCCACCCCTGAAGTCATCAGCATTACAGTTGGCAGTCTTAGGCAATTCAGTTCAGTGTACATGATGAGAGGGGAATTGACTAAATTATCTTATAGGTCAAAGCATGAGGAATTAAACTGGATTCAAATATTGATTATGAGCCTGGCTGTGAATACCAATGCTCCGTTCAAATTTAGTCTTAAGATCAATTTATCTTCTCATCACTAATCTTGATGCCTTTTCACCTTCTGTGTTAGTTATTTTAAACATTTATTATAAAAAATATTAAAGGTATTTCAGGCTAAAACTAAAATTTGAGCCAAAATTGCACTGAAATGCATTAGCCTTTATTTGGGCAAGTCCTCAGTGATGAAAATTACATGCAGCTGTTCCAGCCAGTCTTCATCCCAAACAAATATGTTTGCCTCTACGAGCATGATCCCTCTAAAGCCCTATTAATTGGCAGCGAGGTTTATTTGTTCATTACAGCTGATCAGTAATACCTAACAATTTTTCTCCGAATTCCAAACTTAAGTTTCTATGTTAAGTAGTTGGCTGCTTTTTCCCTTGGTTATGCTACTCTTGTAGCTCAACAGTGTCTAATCCAGTGGTTGTTGCTTTCATTGAGGGATCTCTTGTTTGCAAACCATGTGGATCAGATCTGCTGCCTAGTCCCACCCAGAGACTTGACAAGTGAAAGTGATCTCAAGATTCAATCAATCGTGCACTATTTCAACCTTTTTGTGGGTTTGAAGTTCTTTAATAATGCTCAGTCCCAATTTGTTGAGAGATCAGGGGCAGCTCGTACCCGTCTTTCCTATTTAACCAGTTTTTCTTTTCTGGTTCCCAATACTGACTAATCCCTCACTGGATAACCATTCCTATTTACACAGGTCTCTTGTTTCTCAATTTTGGACCATCAATCTTTTGAGCGTTTGAGATGAGCCCAACTTTGTCCTTGACTTTGAAAATGAAAAAAATCTGGATCCATTTCTAAAATTGGGTCCAGTATTCCAAGAAAATGACATTATTTTCTCTACTCAGTCATTAATCACAAGCTATTCCAACACTTAGGCTGGAGCACCCCCTTCCCCCCCCCAAAAGAATTCAATAAAAGTGAGATAAAGTGCAATTTGATATTTCTACCATTTAAAATCATGAAAAAAGTAATGGTGTCAGCATTTTATTTAACAAGATTATAAATTTGCTCATAAATATTAGCAGTTATCGGTTGGTCCCAACTAGACTAATAATCATTCATTACCAAAACTGGCAATTGCTATAATTTAAAATTGATATTTCACATAATAATTCATTCATTTGGTTGTATAGCATTGTTCGCTTTAAGTTTTCAACTTAGTTCATTACTGGTATTAGAACCTTGAATGATTTTTTATTCTCAATTTTGGTTTGGCACTGTGAACTGGGAACTGTTAGCTGAAAACAACTTGTAGACTTTGAAACAGCTTGTGATAAAAGGCAAAAAACTGACCAAACAAGGTTTCTTTGTTTGAGAGGACAGGTGTGGAGTCTAATTGGAGGCTGAGTCTTGATTAAAAGGATTCCGACAGACATAGCGACACCGGTAGAGCATTACATTTAAACAGATAGAGGTTGGCTATTGACAAAGTCAGTATTTGAATATTGTTTCCAGCAAATCTGGAAGAGACACAAGAAGATGGTGGTCATTGAATAGTATTTGAGATCTTAGGAAGACAGTCAGACTGTCTTTTAAAAAACTGTTTTCGGAGGAAACAAGTTTGGTTGCTAACAGGACAGCATGAAGATTTGAAAGTTCCCTGCCTAATCTCTTACACCACCTTTTGGAAGCCCAAAGAGTAGAAAGCGGAGTTATAAATATTGCTGCTTTTGCCTGGATGAACAGAGGTGATCCTGATCGGCAGTTCCAGAAAAGCAACCAAGAAGTATACATGAGAGATAGTAGGAACTGCAGACGCTGGATGAACAC